TAAGTAAGGACTTGCAAGACGCGGCACTTCTGTTCATGAAGGACAACTTTCTGCCTCAAGAGCCACTGGTGCAGTTATTTGGTGTACACTGGGATGAAGATGCGGAAAAATTCTGGGGTGCTGTTTTTGACCAAGGGCTGACTTTAATTCTTACAAATAAAGATGACAACGACATTATAGCTTTGAGGGGGATAGAAATAATTACAAAAACTGACAGAATTGATACAGCGGGTATACAAGATGAAAATCTCCGAAATTTACTGGATTACTTAAATTTCTGTTTGCCATTTTAAAATTTTTTGGATCTGTGTGATAAGCGTTATTTTGCGGGGTTAGCTGGTTTACGGCTTACCGTCAAAAGGGAATTGAACGAAACTCTTAACAGTGCTTCAATTTTGTGAAAACTTGGGTTGAAAAACGTATTATCAAAAGGGGGGCCTCGTCTGTTTTTCTAAAATTTTGACAAAAAGCTTTGATAACTTTACATAAAAAATTTGGAATTTCTTTAAATGGTAAATTTAATGTTGGAAAAAAACCGCCAGTCCAAAAAATTTACGGAAAACGTGTTGAAAAAAAACATTGAAAATTTCTTATTTTTTACCCTGTATCTTTATACTCTTTTCGCCAAAGTCAAAAAGTTAATTTTAAAGAAAAATTTGTCGTGTTAGTCAACGGGAAATCATTAGCTTAGGGTGAAATTGTGTACGTGTATTACATAAAATTAGCATATATGTAAATATCATTACAATACTCTACCCATTTTAAAGGCCCTTATATGGAATATTCTACTTTGATACATTTCGCTACTATAATGACAAATAATTGGGCCATTGAACTTGAAAACATCTGTAGATATTATTTCACATTTAAACTATGTTACTTACACACAGCAGGTTGATATATCTGAGGGCAAAATACTTTCAAACTGTGCGACCAGTGGCGGGCCATTGAACATTAATTTAAACTACTACCTTATTATCTTCTTTTTTTATTTTGTAGACTATCTATTGTATAAGATCAGGTTTGAATAAATTATCTCTAAATTTATATTTTAAAATTATGCAGCATCATTAACATTTGGATAAGTATGTAATATGATAAACGAAATAATAATAATAATAATAATAATAATAATGATGATGATGATGATTATGATGATAATAATGATGATGAAGATAATTATAATAATAATAACAATGATAATAATGATAATCATGATAATCATGATGATTATTATTATTATGATGATGATGATGCTGATGATGATGATGATGATGATGATGATGATGATGATGATGGTAATTATTATTATTATTATAATTATTATTATGATCATGATGATAATTATAAATTGATGATTCTGATAATCATGATGATTATTCAAAAGCGTGAAAGAGTCATTATACAGAGCAAAACATGTTGTTAATTCTTTAATGAATGTACATAATGGATACTATATTTGACTTTCTACAAGGAGCAAAATTTTGATATGTACTGTTGAAGTTATCATATTATTAAAGTAAAGGTGACACATCTCTGTGCCAAAGGTTAGCGTAATATAGGTTCTGTTTTATCCTATAGCTAATAATAGTGACATTAGTGATTTGGAATGATGTAAAATCAGTATGCTACTAAATATAACTTATAATGTTACGATATCTAGTTAGTGTTTTATTTACTCACATTAAGATCGTTGAACCCATACATTTTCTAACATTTAAGTCATACGCATTAGGTACTTAAATTCTTAAAAATTAAATAAATTGTCTTCCAAATGTAAAAAAGAAAAGTGAGGTTTTAAGTTTGAATAAAAAAACCAGATTTTCGAACTTCATATTTAAAAATAGAATTTTGTTTTATTCTTTTTCTGGTTAATTTTCAACAAAATCAACTACAATGGCGGATTCTGGAGCTTACGGGTTGCGAGGATTGTCGAAGGAAAGAATTGAACAGGTATGCGTTCTACTACACAATATTACAATATGCTAAAATCAATTATTTTTTCAATGTGATATATCGATTAAAATATTTCCTTCATTCTGTATACGTATTCATATATCTTATTAATTTAAAGGTTCTGAAAATATTCATCCCTCGATAGAACTGTAAATAAAAAAGTTTGAGTCGAAAGACCCTGATATGAGGGATAAAGACAAGTGCAACATCCCTTATGCCTCCTAGCACCAGATTGAGCTGTACTTAATCTTTTGGAATCGATGATCCCGAAGGACCAGAAAAACAAAATATTGAATTAAAGAACAGCCGTCACCGAAGTCATACTTTATTATTTAAACAAAAGTATTAGCCACAACTTGTTGCCAAAAGATGTCTGAATTATAAAAAGAAATCTTGTCAACTTGGAAGGAGAATATCATACTCGATATTATCGGGAAGAATTAAGTTGATTATAAATCTAATGCTTGTTTGCATTTAATTTGTATATACGTGTATATAGTTGGTGTTAAAGGCCATTACTGTGCCTATTTTAATTTGGAGAGAAAAATGGCTGCATACCCTAAATCTTGCTTTTTTGTTTGTTCTTTAGTCACTCTTATATTGCCTACTATTTATACATGTGTCGCATAGTAAGAGCTTAAGAGATCTTGCTCTTACCATTATTTGAAATGAACCGACTTAAACAAACCGAGTCTTAAGCTTTGTTATCATTGTTCTGGAGATACATGTATCTCCCCAACTGCCAGATTTCTTACTTACTTTTACATTTGTATAAGTAATTATGTTATGTATCCTGTATGATTTTATTTACATTCAGTGATTCAAACTTGAACTAAAAAGAAAGTACGGGCGTCCGTGACGGAGTGGTCAACGTTGTTGACACCAAACCACTTGCCATTTACCGCTGTGGTTTCGAATCTCAAGGGAAATTATCCAGCTGGCTCACGGAACACCGGTGGTTCTACTCAGGTATTTGTTCGTGCCTGAAATAATACACGGAGGGGCACCTGAGGTCTTCCTCCACCAGTCAAGCTTGAGTGTTGCCACGTGATCTTTACGATGCTGGTGCGATGTAAAAACCTACCCGAATTAGACAATGTTTTCCTTTATTGCTATGTTCATTGTTTCAGGCAATTCAAAAAGTCAACACAGATAATCTAGATAAAGACTGGCAACTGAAACTATTAGGAAAGGACTTGCAAGACGCGGCAATTCTGTTCATGAAAGACAACTTTTTGCCACATGAGCCACTGGTACAGTTGTTTGGCGTACATTGGGACAAAGATACCAAGAAATACTGGAAATCTGTATTTGACCAAGGGCTGACTTTAATTCTTACAAATAAAAATGATGACGAATTAATAGCTTTGAGAGGTGTTGATGTCGTAAAGATGTCCGACCGCGTTGAAACAGCAGGAATATCTGATGAAAATCATCGTCATCTGCTGGAGTACCTAAATTACTGTGATGACCATGCTAAATTCTTTGAACATTACGGTGTCGAGGAGGCGATACATTTTGCCGGCCTAGCTGTTTCGCAGGCTTATCGTCGCAGGGGAATTGCAACAAAGCTCACCTCTTGCGCTGTCAATTTCGTTGAGAATCTTGGGTTAAAATGTGTATATATCAAAGGAGAGGCCTCGTCTGATTATTCAAAGAGAGTTTATGAAAAATTAGACTTTGATGAACTTTATCATCAAATATATGAAGAATACACTGTAAATGGTGAACATTTAATGTTGGATAAAACACCGCACACGTCCAATAAGATTTACGGAAAGCGCCTGGAACTATCACGTTGAAAATATTCATTTTGATATTCAATGTTAACTGACAGTTATAAATACTAATATCAAGATGCCTTACATTAGCGTGCTTTATATTATATTTTGACAAGATACACATGTATACCAGAGTTATGTCCTTTGACTTGCAATGATCCAAATAAATTTCGATAAAATATGTGGGCGGGAGCTTGCTTTTATCACAACTGTGCATGAACGGACTCGATCCAACCGAGCTGCATTAATTTCAGTTTCGCGGTTTTGTGTGTTCTTTTGACCTTACAACATGAATCTGCATATACAGTAATGAATAGCTGTCATGGTCAGAAATTATCATTTCATACATAGAGATATTGAACGAGTGTAAGTTCAATATTGTACGAGTTGAATAACAAGAGGGCCATGATGGCCCTGAGGTCGCTCACCTGTATATAGCCCCCCCCCCCGGCTTTTATTTGTTGGTAGACACCCATAAGAAGATGTTTCATGCTAAACATCTAAGTTTTAGCTCATTGGGTTTTTCAAAAGAAGATTTTTTAAGTTTTTACTATACACATATAGTTAAAAACAATGACACCCCTGGGGCAGGGCCAGTTTTGACCCCCGGGCTTTTATTTGAACAAACTTTGTAGATATTTACTTAAAGATGTTTCATGCTTAATATCTAAACTCTAGCTATTTGGGTTTTTTCAAATAAGATTTTTAAGTTTTTGCTATACACATATAAGGAAAATCAATGACCCCCCGGGGCGGGGCCAGTTTTGACCCCAGGGCTTTTATTTGAACATACTTGGTAGACACCCATTAGAACATGTTTCATGCTAAATATCTTAGCTCTAGCTCTTTGGGTTCTTTAAAAGAAGATTTTTTAAGTTTTTACTATATGTTAAATTTTTTTTTAAATTGGATTTAGAGCATGACATGTTAGGAACGCTGAAAAGTGTGCTGTAACGGTAGCAAAATATAAACAAAGTAGTTTTTTGTTTTGCTATACCAAATACTTAATCACTATTATAATAGCAAATGCATAAGAAGCAAAAGATAGTTCATCATATGGCCAAAGAGCTTTTAACACTATCACAAGATACAAAAAAATAAAAGGGTTTTGAGAAATAAAAATGATACCACTTTTGGGGTTAATGGGCCTTTAATAGAATGTTGTTATCTTATCCAATAAAATGATTCGCATTGTTCATTTAAAAAAACATTCTTATCATCTTGTTTCATATTTTATGTAAAGAATAACAAAACGCAACTTAATACTTTGTATCCAATATTTATTGCACATTAAATCAATTTGTTTGGTAAAATAGAATATGTTTTAAGTAAATATTTAAAAAGGTCTTTAGATAAGTATTAGTAAAAGGTAAAGTGCAAATAATATTTTCCATGGAAAAAAGCAGTTCCACACTGACCCCTCATGTGTTAGTTATTTTTTGGTTGGGTCTTATGATGCATCAACACATAAAATGTCATTTGGGGACTGTTGGAGGAAGAACTAAAACAAGGGACATAACAATAAAGGTAAAGTGTGTTTTACGTCACACCAACATTGTAAAAGTCATGTGGAGACTGTCCAGCTTTACTGGTGGTGTAAGACCTCTTGTGCCCCCCTGCACATTATTTCAGACACAAACGGGCACCTGAGTAGAACCACCGACTTTCCGTAACCTTGTTGGATAGCTTTCTCAAATGAAGAATCCGCCGACACTTGCGACGCTCAAACCTACAGGGGTGAGAGGCAAGAGGTTCAACGACCTTAATCACTCGGCCACAAATGCCCCCATCCCATATGTTAAAATTCTTCTTTTATTTTCCTTTGTCATATAATGACAGTTTAACTTAAATATACATTGCTAAGTTAAGAGAACAATAACAGCATTGCATAGCTTGCTTGTACTAATATCATATGTTTGTTTGATTATGGTTTTACGTCACACTGAAAGAATCCAAAGTCTCTGTTGAGATTCGAATTACAGTTGTGAGCGTCAACTTGTTGACATGGATGCCCCCTAATATCATATACATGTCATATAAATTTGGTAATTTTAATGCAGACTTTTTACAACCGCAGTTATAATCAACACAGCACATTCAACTTTCTCTGCACTTAAAAGTTAGACGAAAGGCATACTGGGTGTTTTCGTAAAGGGAAAAAAATCAGTGAAATCAATGACTAATATAACTATATTAAGCTACAATAAACCAAAATAAGTAACCAAATTTGAAATTTTACATTCACAGAAAGAAGCATTTGTAAGATTTGAACTTTTTGAACAACAGTGTACAAAATAACATGTAAATACAAAATGCCTAAAAAACAAGGAATATAAAAACATTGACAGTTATACATCATACATGTAGGTTTAAAATAATGAAAATAAATGTTGTATTATTGGCACATAGTGGTATATATCCTCATTACAAATTCAAACAGTTGTTTTACACATTATACCTTAAATGAAAGCATAGGAAAAGCACCTACAAGTAAATGTACATGTACTCATAAAAAGATTTATGGCCTTATAAAACATACTCTTAAATATACTATTAGGAAGACATTTCAATTATTGTCATAACTTAAGTTATTTATCTTTTCAATCAGGTTTTTTTTATTGTTAATTATACATAATAGTAAATGACCCTTTAGGTCTCGATTATTCTAATCGATGTACCAAGCAGCTGAAAACATATGACCTTTAATACACACATGAAAAACATATATATGCCTTTAAGGTTTAATGGGTTTGAAGTACAAAAATAATGTTCAAGATATATGCAAAAGTTAATATTAAAAATTCACAATCAGAGTAATTATCACAAACAAATTTGATACAATGCCCTTTTTATATCCTATATAAAATTATAAAAAAGTGTTTATAAACATAGCAAAAAAAACATGTTAACGGGTTTAAACCCATACAATATTGTAATCTCATATTGGTAATACATTCAGATCTAGCCTTTTAACCAGTCTGTAACTACTGTATTCTCATTGGTGAATTCAAATTCAAATATTTGAATAAGCCAATCAGTAAACAGACAGTACAAACCAGTCTGTAACTACTGTACTCTAATTGGTGAATTCAAATTCAAATATTTGAGTCAGCCAATCAGAAAAAAAGATTGTACCGACTGATTTTTTAGCAGCTTAACTCCTAGACTGTCAATTTCTTTTGCACTGGATTTGCCCTAGCTTCGCTCATCTTTGCAATCTGACCAGGTTCTAGACTGGTGACAAAGGCTAATCACTCAGTTCCATCAGGTTAAAGGTTAAGGTCATGTCTAGTGTCAGGAGGTGTGGCCATTTAGCTTGGATTCCCGCCTTTCTTCCATTGGTACAGATATCCTCATTGTACTCAAAGGATCCGAAACATACCCTGCAAATTGTAAAACTGCTATATAAATGATACACAAATACATTTAATATTCAATCTGTTGTCTCTACAGTCTAGATTTTGTTATAAATTAATTATTCAAAAAGGTGACCATGCAATTTTGGCCATACCTTTACAACTATGTACTTTGTAAAACGTATTAATTTTCTATACAAAGTTATTTTTATTTCCTAAATGCTGTACTATTGAGATCAGCAAAATGTGAAAACAAATAAAGTGAATATGAGGTCGAACATTATGGACCATGATAATACTGTTAAAAATAAGAAAATATGACATTGGTTGTTCTTTTCCATGTTCTATTACATGAATATATATATCATATAGTTTACATTATAACATATCAGGTAAACATTACTTCATGTAAAAGCAATACTAAACTAAGATATTATCAATACCTAGAATGAAATTTTATGTACTGTAAAATCAAATATTTCCATAAGGCCTAAATTTCTTGAAATCAACAAGTCTGTATAATTAGCCAAGGTTAATATTTTGGGGGAAATTTTCTACTTTCAGTTCTGTTATATTTGTATGATACGTAGCAAAACTTAATTATCTATAGGGTACAGATATCAATGATAAAATCAATACCCACCATTTTTATCAATTTGAGGAAAAGGTAGTCTTGGCCGCATATCCTCCATACTGTAAAAATAACCAAACAATTCAACATGTTAACATGTATATTCTACCAGTATTCTATCAGTGTCATTAAATATAATATCTCTAAGCAAACAGTCATTGATTTTATTATTATATTAAATATTGAAGATTTTAACATTCTCTAATTAAAAGCAACAGTTACAAATGTGCAGTTTTATAAGCAGTGTAAGCAAATAACGTAAAAGGCTACAAGTATACCAGTTCCTAGAGGCTTCCATCTCCCATCTTGACTTTAAGGCACTGACATTCCCAACAAGTGGAGGCGTGGCCCTACCCTCGCCGTCACCCTCATGGTCACGTATCACAGCTGGGAGGCTGGCAGACAGGGGAACTTGCTGGTACTCTGGTGGGTTACTCAACATCATCACAGTGGGAGAATGTTTACAGTCTTCCAGTATAGGGAGAATCTCAGCAAAATCTGGTCTATCCTAATAGACAGAAGATTTTTTTATTCAGTAAAACGATTTCAATTACGTTGTAAATTAATGAAAATATTGATCACTTACAGATTTTTAGATATGACATTTTAGTAAAGCTTAAAATACAAAACTGATATTTTTTTAAACAGGGTCTTTCAAATAGTTCTATTTGAAAGACCCTGTATTAAAATATAATTCTTGATTTTATCTTCCATTAAACAAATCAAGCAGTAATCAACCTAACAGGATGACAGGATATGTATTATTACCTAGAAATATATTTTAATGAATGCAATTGATTCAAAATTGCCTCAGCTAAGAAGAATACAACTGTTAAATAATACTACTTACTTCTGGATTCGGACTCCAGCCTCTATGTAGAAGAGCAACTAATGGTTTAGGGAAGGTTACAGCTATTGGGGGGCGTGTCTGGTGATAGGCCATTTCCGCTGCTGCTGCAGCTGTTTATATAAATTATTATATAAAGATATTATAGAAACATTTAGTAAACCAGTATCAAATGTGTATAAAGAAAATCTCAATTAGAATTTGTTTTGAATATACAATGCTGTTTTCACTACAATCTATTTCATTGACCAAAATCTCTTAAAATAAGCTAAGTAACTGGAATAATTGTTAAAATTTAATTTTGTAAAACAAAAAACATTCTTATTTCAGGCACGAATGGGCATCTGAGTAGAACCACTTACGTTCCGTAAGCTAGCTGGATAGCTTCCTCAAATGAATGATTCTAAAGTCCCTGTCAAGATTCGAACCCACAGCAGTAAGGGGCAACGACCTTACCACTCAGCCATGAACCCCCCTAAATCTTTTAACCTTTAACCTGCTGGCAGTAACTATATCAACCAACGCAACCAGTGCAGACCAAGACCTCCGCATCTGTGCCATCTGATCATGGTCTGCACTGTTCAATATTCAGTCAGTACATATTTCAAAATTTTCCCTAAATATGATGAATAGCTTGGCCCAGATTGAAAGACAGGCAACTCCATTTTAGATATTTAGTTCAAAAAGGTTTTACATAGAAAAATTTAGAAATTTTTTTATTTGGTTTTATGTTGCACCAACACAGTATAGGTCATATGGCAACATGTGAAGGTCAAGAAAGAGTTACCTGGTTTGAGATGAGCAAATGGTAATTCCCCAGCAAGTAACTCCCACAAACATAGGGAGTAACTGAACACATCTGCCTTCACACTATACTTTGTACACTGTGTAAATATTTCTGGTGCCATCCATCTAAGGTTCTGTAATAAATACAAAACTGATATGACATTTTGTCTTGATATAGATCATTCTTTACATAAAATCACAATCTTTTCTAGAACACAGATTCCCTCAAATTTCACTGTTTTGTCAGTAAATTTCAAATCTATATCCCCCTCCCCACCCCTTTATGAATAAGTAGTTTATTAAAAATAATTCAATTTATTCTTTACAGCTATGAGAACTAACATTCTCTTTTCCAGATGAAACTTCTGATTCTACAGCATACATATCTGTAGAACAATAATTCATGGTTACTTGGTTTAAACCCTGATTCAAAATACCATAGATTATTCAATTTGAGTAGCAAGGGGTTAAACTCAATAGTCAATACCTAGATTTCTTTTTTACAGTGTTGTCATTGCACCACACAACCACTATAGGTATCAGGTAAACATATTGGTTAACTTATTTTACAACACACTATACACAACAAACAGTATACTTACCCCTGGTTGTTTTGTCATATTATCTTCAAGGGTGCGTAAAAATTGAGATTCTGAAATTATAATCATTTACAAGATATGAATTTCAAATAATTTCAAATAATGTTATTACATGTATGTTATAATACTGTTACTTTTGACACAATGAGTGCAATGAAAGTTACTGAGATTATAAGATTATAAATACAATAGATACTTTTTTGACTGAGATATTTCTAATCTGATTGTTCAGTTCTAAAGCTACCAAAACTTGTTCTTATGGTGGCAAAAGGCAAGCTTTTTAAAAAAACATTAAAACTTTATATTTACCTTTAAAGTTTTCTTAAAACATTAATTTTATGAAATTTTTTTTGCTATTTTTTTCATCAATGAACATTTTTTTCTTTACTGACATTAAAAAATGAGAATAAGAAAAACATAACCAAAACCAATTAAATTTTGACAAAAATTAATACTGTATTAATTTCATGATTAAGGAAACATTTGAAGATATCAATGTTACAACTAACCACCAAAGTCAGCCACAATGGCGTGACCATTTTCCTCCAGCAGTATATTTTGACTGTTGAGATCTCTATGTATCACAGGTTGTGTAAGATTATGTAGATAGTTCATACCCTTAGCAACATCCATCGCTATGATCAACTTGGAGTGTATATCTATCAGTCTATATTGTAAATAATAGAACATAATAATATGAAAATTTTTATACTCTTCAAACAATACATAACTAAATGAATCTTGTAGCTTAATGTTAGAATATGCATATATCATGGGGTGCTTCAGTTGCTTGAAGATTTCATTAAAACATGTAACAATACATAGAGGATATTCAAGTTATTTCTGCAAATACATGACAGTGACGGTAGCCACAGGTGAAATATGATAATTTTCATACCACAAGATGAAAATATATCCTGTATTTCTAGAAAAAAAAACCTAAAATTTTCTGTTTATTATAAAAAACATTTTTCTTTTTTTCTTCTTCTTTTTTTGAAATTACAATTTGAAAGCCTATTGGGCAAAATAAATATTACAATAGGTTTTTTTGCACAGAACTTTGCATATCCCACATCAGGTCATTTACTAACCCTGTAATTATTTATATCACCTAAAGAGTATCAATAATGGGGCTAATAAATTTTATTTTTTATTTAATTTCATTTTTTAATTTATAGGAATAAAATTTAATTAGAGCTTAACTAGGAAAAAATACATCCCTTTTTTGTCAGAAAACAATTTGGGGGGAGCCCCCGTACTTTTTTACTTGGAAATTTGCAATTAAACAAAATACATAATTAGTTTTAGAAAAAAAATGTAATATAAACATCACCAATATAGTTAACAAGTAATAAATATCAAATTGATATTTTATTTCATCTTAAAGCTGCTAATAGTTTTATATGTTTTTATTTTCAGAACTGTTATATGTTAGTAAATATGTTTTATGCCTTTGTTATTGTCGGTAAATAGCTTATTAGCTAATGTTTATTGTAATATGTAAACCGACTTAAAATAAAGTTTCTTGTATCTTGTAAATTGAATTGAAGAAACTCCCCACTGAGGTAAAAAAGCTAAAATAATAAAATTTCAATTTCTTACATAAATCAACTTGGACACTTAAAACAAAAATGTATGCAAAAGATGATTAAGAAATATACTCAGAAATAAATTGTAATCATAATTTTGTCTTATTCTTAGCTCTTTTTAAAGGAAAGGAAATGCTTTTCAATTTTGGATAATTTTTCACAATTAGAATAATTAATCTTGTAAAAAAACAGAGTGAGCGAATGATCTGCAATTTGCACACAAGTTATTGGTATTGACATACATTAAACAGAACATTAATCTCAAAAAACTATTTCCAGTTCTGTCATGTCAAAAAACCTCAATGGAGTGCCTTTAAATAAAAATATCTAAAAAAATAATTGCGGATATCGACGGGTCCTAAAATTTTTGAATAGGGGGTTAGTTTGAAAACACTCAACCTCTTACAAAAAGTAACATCTGACTTTGGGGTTCCAAAAAAAGCTTGCTTTATTCTGAAATATCAAATTAATCAAAAAGTAAGTTTTGAAAAACTAAAATAGAATATACTAAATGGATTTAATCCCCCAAAAACTGCTTCGGAAATTTAAGTTATGTAAAAGAAAAGTTTTAAAAAAATTTTAAAAATAGATTATGGGTTTGGCAATTAAAAAAGTTTGGGGTATTTCATTTTCCTTTTTAATTGGGTTCCCTTGATAAGTTTTTAAATTTCTCTGTAATAAGTCCAGAAAGACAAGGAAAAGGAACAAAGGGCAATAACTCTATAAATACTGAAGATGGAGTTATAGTTCTTGTGCACTGCACTTCCTCTTATTGTGATTGACCATTGTATGAAGTTGTTTTGAATTCCAACCAGTACATTTTAAGTTATGCTCCAGACAAGGAAAAGTATCAAAGGACAGTAACTCTGTATTTTGTCAGATGGAGTTATGGCTCTTGTGCACTGCACTTCCTTTTAATGTCCTTGACAACTGTATGAAGTTGTATTGAATTCCAAACAGTAGTTTTCAAGTTATGCTCTGGACAAGGAAAAGTAACAAAGGGAAATAACTCTGTAATTAGTCAAGATGGAGTTATGGTTCTTGTGCACTGCACTTCCTCTCAATGTACTTGACCATTGTATAAAGTTATATTGAATTCCAACCATAAGTCTTCAAGTTATGCTCCGGACAAAAAAAGCAATGGAAAAGTAACAAAGGGCAATAACTCTGTAATTAGTCAAGATTGAGTTATGGTTCTTGTGCACTGCACTTCCCTTAATTGTGCTTGACCATTGAATGAAGTTGTTTTTAATTCCAACCAGTAGTTTTCAAGTTAAGCCCCTGACAAAAAAAAGTAACAAAGGGCAATAACTCTGTAATTAGTCAAGATAGAGTTATGGTTCTTAAGCACTGCACTTCCTCTCAATGTGCTTGACCATTGTATGAAGTTATATTGAATTCCAACAATTAGTCTTCAAGTTATGGTCCAGACAAAAGAAAGCAATGGAAAAGTAACAAAGGGCAATAACTCTGTAATTACTTTAGATAGAGTTATGGTTCTTGTGCACTGCACTTCCCCTTATTGTGTTTGACAATTGTATGAAGTTGTTTTTAATTCCAACCAGTAGTTTTCAAGTTATGCCCCTGACAAGGAAAAGTAACAAAGGGCAATAACTCTGTAATCAGTCAAGATAGAGTTATGGTTCTTGTGCACTGCACTTCCTCTCAATGTGCTTGACCATTGTATGTAGTTATATTGAATTCCAACAATTAGTCTTCAAGTTATGCTCCGGACAAGGAAAATGCAACGGACGTCTGGACCAACCGACCGACCAACCAACCGACCACCGGGTGACTCCTATATACCCCCCCAAACTTCGTTTTTGGGGGTATAAACATGTGTTTACTAAAAATTACAAACTTTAAACTCAAAAGAAAATGAATCGAGGGACACCATTTCCTTTGTTACAAATTAGTTTTTTCTTTCTTCAAAAACTCAAATTGTTTTGTCCATATAGATTCCTGTTTAATTTTAACTTTATAAACTATAAAAGATACCAAATAAGAAGATGTCAGTACATGTACTTCAATAATGTATTACAGCATTTTTACAACATGTTAACTAAATGCACAAGTAAGTGTTTACAAAAGCACAAACATGTGGTTTCATACAACATGCCCTTGATATTGCAGCAGAATTCATTAGTTACTTGATTAAAAACCGTGATAAACTTGTCGGCACTAATGCATCACATAATTTTTCACATTGTTTCCGGAAAACAAAAAACATTGACAACTGAATTTTAATTCATTTTCAGCATTTCAAATTTGTTTTACACGAATCAATTTTTAATTTCAATAATTTCAAAAAATCATTTACAAAAAACAATAAAACAATGCTTATTTAAAACACAGATAAGCCATTTTTCTAATAAATTAAAAGATGAAATAAATCGTGGAACTATCCCCTTCAGTAAATAGATGCTTTTTTTTCTCACTCATTTCAATACCTGTATAATGATATATTTACCTTTTAACAGCAACCACCTTTCCTCTACACCTGCCTTTATACACCTTCCCAAATGAACCACTTCCTATTACATCATTAAACTCTATATCTGATATAAGAATATGAAACTGATGAGGCAGATCAGCTCGTAATTGTAACACATCTATCTTTTCTGTAATATACACAAATATATATTATATCCAAGCTATCAACTTAAGTTGGCAGTAAGTTATAATCAAGAGAGGTACCTATGGCTTCACAGCCTCTTTAGATAAAAATTCTCTTTGCTGTGAAATATATATATTTCAGTTGGTGAGTAAATTAACAAAGACAATTTAGCCAAATTGTTAATGTGTCACTTTAAATTTGTATGTGGCAATCTTAAAAAGAAAATAATAATGATAAAGGAAAAGACAAATAGAAGTGATTATTTCATACCTTAAATTGCAATATGATTTTTATTTTTAAATATCAAAAATCAAGTAAAGACGTCATAGCTTGCATGATATGGTCAAAGCACACAATGACTTTGTCACATTCTAAATCTATATCTACTAATTTTGTCACAGAATGTACTTTACAATCTTGTCTATCCATTAATATTTGTTAATTTATTCCTGGCTTATTTGATTTACAGACATACAATGTCAGAGAAGAACACGCAAAGAACTCACCTCGTGTCATGCTCTTCAACTTGCCTATAGGTGAAGGTACGGAGACATATGACCCCTCCCCACCAGGCTGAGAGTAGTCCCCATGTGCTGACTCATCCTGAGGTCTCTTATGATGTTTGACTAGAGTTACTATTGCATCATGCCCTAAAATAAACCAAACTGATTGCATCATATCTCTAAAATTGAAACCCAAATTAAAGGGACTCCAATGAGGTTTTTAGACATGACAGAACTGGAAATAGCTTTTCCGAGATACTTGTAACAAATAATGTAAGTCTGGACCATTTGATCATTTTTATGGTATAAAAGGACCCCTTAAATGAAAAGGATTGCAATGCTTTTTGCTAAAAACCGGCAATGTATTGTACACAAAATTACACACAATTCAATCCTGAGTATGTTTCCTATGTAATCCTTTGCAGGGTGTGCCATTATGTGCTTCAGATTTTAAGAAATTTCAACATCAAAACACAAAAATGGAGCTACCAACAGTATAGAGCCTGGTCAGACTGCGCTGGCCTGGCTATATACTGTTGGCAAAGACTAACCATTTTCAATATTTCAACAGTATACGGGTTTATTTAGCAAGAAGAAGAAACCCCTGTGCTAATAGATGACGGTCAAACCATATGCTTTAAATGACATCATTCTGGCATGGGGTTAATGAATGAATTGGTCCTTAGGATAAATTCATTTCAAAGTTTTAAATGAAGATATAAATTCATAGACTTATAAAAGAAATTAGTACTAAATGAAAATAATAGTTTTCGTAATCTCTTTCTAAAATACAATCAATTAATAATCTGTAGAGGATATTGAATGAGTAAATTTTTTCAGTACTGAATTTATTGAACGAGTTGAATAAAATTATAGTTATGAACCTACAAGAATATAACAATCGATCTATCACATACTGTACCTAAATAAGAACCATTTTTCTGTTAAAACAATCATTATTTAACACCCCGTAGAACTTTTTAATGCTATGTTTGTGCAACACTAGTGGCATCATGTCAAAATATATGCATGGTCATGCCATACCATTTTTATTGAGTCACAAAAGCGGTACCGCTATCTGATAAGCAAGAATAGAACCAAACACTCCCTGTCACAGACATGAATATCTAGCTCTCAGATAACTGTTTAGCAGAAACTCATCAGAGCCCTATTATCACTGTGAACAGATACCATCCAGCTAGAAATTCCAGTCTGTACTGGCAGCCAGTGTAAGATTCTTCTAATCTAGCTGTAAGGTAACTGTATAACTGAAACTCATCACAGCTAGATATTCCGATCTTTAGCAGACGCTGATGTAAGATGGTAATAATACAAAATAATATACCTTGCTGAAATGCCCACATTAGAGCTGTCTGATCCTCCCTACGCTCACTACCTCCACTCTGATCACTGATCGATGCCACTAGATTTATATCTGCTCCTTTCTCCAGTAAATACTGTACAACACGTATATGACCATGGTAACAAGCACTATGGAATGCTGAAATATTTTGTACATAAGGAGATCATTTTTTCTGGCATGAGTGAGCACCATTTTCTCTGCCAAATTGGTAGCTTTCTCATATGAAAGAAACCAATATATCTTGCAGTATTCAGGGATTCAGATCAAATTTATTATTTACCCTTTCACACAAAGTAATTCTCTGTTAAAACTAACATTTAATCAGTCAATTAGCCAAAGAAGATAAATATTTTGCAAATATCTTATAATCTGTAAAATAAATCCATAATTCTTGTAAAAACATGTAATCAAAATTGAGAAAACATCACTTTGTGCTCTTTGACAATGGTCAAAGGCAGTAATTGAGTTAAATCTTGTATCTGAGGAGTAATAGATAATTGAGATAAATAGTGTATCCAAGGAGTAATGGATAATTGAATTTGAAGATGTCAACTAGAGGATGCTTGACATGATCTTATACTATCAAATATACATACCTGTATGACCATCCTTGCCTTGATGGTTTATCTTGACACCTGGCTGATCTAGAAGAAACTTTATCATATCCAAACTTTTACCACTGGTACATGCACTGAAAAACATAGATAACAGAAAATTATAAAGATTGAAAGGTTAAGCTTATAGATCTACAAATATAAAGAGGATATTGAATGAGTGTCAGTTCACTACTGAATTTATTGCATGAGTTGAATAAAATTATATTATGCGAGCCTCTGGCGAGCATAATATTATATTATTCAACAAGTGCAATAATTTCAGTAATGAAGTTACACGAATTGAATATTCTATCACATACCCAAAATAATGACTGTTTAAAGTGAAATAAGAGTCATTTTTCATTGACGCGCCTAAAGTATAATGCTAATATTTAGCACATCTTTACACTATGTTTGTATAATGCTAATGACGTCACGTCAAAATATATGCACGGCCGTGCAATACCATATACCAATACCATGCAAAATTGGCACGGGTGTTTGATAAATATGTAAATGAACTAAAATAATGTAACAATTCATCTTAATATACTATCAACATTGCTGGTGAGCAGATAAGCTCTGTGCTTCGGAGTCTACCCTACAATATTTCAGTTATAATATGACTAAGCAAGACTTTATTCTACAGGAAAAGTATACAAAAATATCACCAATGCAAAGGCGTTTCACTAAAGATGTTTTCTTTTGTTATACTATCAAGTCCTGTCCTAGAAATCAGCTGTTTGACAACTTCCACTTTACCATTGTAACATGCTCTGAAATAGTGAAATATATTATTTTATTACAGAATATTATATAATCTGGCATCATAAAAATATTTTCAGAGTCACTCGTCCGAGCTTCTCTATCCAACATGCAGGCAACATTTTTCTACTCCTCCTGCATCAGATTCTCTTAAATTCTACTTGTAATTACGAGCTGACAAGTGTGAATTTTTATCTTTGTTGTAATTCTTGACTAAAGCGTCTCAACTATCATTTTTTTAGTAACATAGGTATCATCATGGTGTTGTTGGTTTTGTATGATTTTTACATGAGATGGAAACATATTACTGGTCATACATATGATTGTTAAAACATAGGTGTCAGTTTATAAAGAAAATGTCTAAAGCCAAATGGTCATTTTAAACCCATAACTTGCAGATCTTGTGGAAATTATTTGCCCTGCTTTCAATTTGGAACAGTCCATTTGAAGTTTAAGGGAGATCAATTTCAAAATACAAACAATTTAGCTACCAACAGTATAGAGCCTGGTAGAATGCATGGATAAATAAGCTGGCCTGGCTCTATACTGGTGGCAATGGCAAATCATAGGACATTAATGGTTAACTGAAATACCAACACTTTGAATATCATTATTAATTGATATAAGTATATTTTCAAATGTAGCATGTATTTTGTTCAAATGTTCTTATGTATGTATGTAATGAATTATAGAATTTGATTGATGTTCATTTATGATAGATTCTTGTCAGCAAATACATGAAATACAATAAAAAGATTTTATTGAAAACTTATTAAAACTGTTGTGTGATCACAGTTAAATAAAATATGTTTGCAATGAATATCTTCATTTCACTATCTAATAAAATTATGTATCAATTAAAAAACATGTTTCAAGCAAAACTTACAAATGCAATGGCGTGTCACCATAGATATTTACTACATGCGGGTCTGCTTTTTGCTCCAATAAATAATGTAGCACCACAAGATGTCCAGATTTACAACAAAAATGTATGGGAGTGTGTTCTTCATCATCTTTCACATTTACTATAATACAAAAATATAATGCCTTGAAAAATATTAACAAAACTATGAATTCTATTTTTTAAAAGACTTAAAGCTTCTGTGACGAGGCTGAGAAGTGATGTTCCTTCAGACTTGACAGAGGCGGTATGGCCGTGTGGATAACAAGTTGGACTAGTAATCTCAGGATTGTCAGCCACGTGGGTTCAACCCCGTCAGGGGCAAGTCATCGTTTCCGTGAGCAAGAAACTTTACAATTATTGTTTGGTACTGGTTGGTTCAAGGAGTGGTTTCAAGAGTGTTTCAATAAGCTTATAGCTTCCAACACAAACAAACAAAAATAAATTAGTATAAACTATACAGTTAAGTTGTAGATTTGTAATCTTTAACCCCACACTTCTGTAGCTTGCTGAACATTTTCATGTAAGGCGTCTGTTCAGCTTGATATCAAGTAAAAATTAAAGAGAAAATATTTCCAGGTCATAACATTGTCACAGTAGATATAACATTAGTCATACTAAACAAACTCACCATTAGCCTTGGATTTTCCTGTCCCTTCAACAAGATTCTGTGTGACCCTAACATAACCTTTGCCAGCTGCCAGGTGTAAAGGTCGGTCACCAACACTGCCACTAATGTTCACATCTGCACCGTGTTTTAATAACACCTCTACTACCTGTGTATTTAATCAAATTAAAAATACGTCTAAATATTGAAGAAAATTTTTTGCAAGAAAGAGGCACATTAAACAATAAATTCATAGACATGGATGAATATCCAGACTCCATCCAAAGATTTTAAAAAAATCAAATAAAAATGATAACATAAGAAAACTGAGAAACTTTTGTCATTAATTCTCTGAAACCATTATTGAATTATTATCAAATTCATAGTTGGCCTTTCTAAAGAAATAAAAATTTGTTTGTTTCTAAGTCATAATGTTGCAGATTTAGTAATGGCATTATATGGTCTCTGACTTTAAGTCACTCACCAGTGTTATCATAAATCATAAATTTTAATAGATGTATGTCAAAAATATACATATAACAAACCTTATCATGGCCGAAGTTACAGGCTATATGTAGAGGTGAGAAATTGACAGCATCTCCCTGATTTATATTAGCATCATGCTCTAACAGACATAGGGCAATCTGAAACATAGAAATGTATCTTTACTAAATTCATGATTATAAGCACATTGTGTAATACATCCATATATTAGTAAAAGAAATAATCATTCACTTAAACATTGCACCCTATTGAACTTATTTAAATAACATTCTTGCATACAGTTCAAACTCAGCAGAGCAGCACATTTTGAAAGACAAAATATTTTGGTTGTTGCTTTAGAGAGGTTTGATTTACTGTGAAATGTTTCTTTGGAAAGAACAGAAAGGTAATTCTTCTACAGAAAGCAGATCCATGCAGAGGTTTCACTGTATATCTATGCTAAGTTTAAGTTTGTACATATATATCTCCTATCTTGAATAAAGATCTCCTTTTATCAAAACAAGTATACAGTCCAATTTAATACAGCTGATGTAAGTTGAATTTGAAACATAATGTCTTTAAAGTTACATTAAATAAATTTCATAAAAAAAGAAATAGCGACATTTCATTAATAAATTGGGTTTCATATCGACTCCAGATCTTATTTTGGTGTCCAGGCAACCAAAATGAGTTTAATGAGCATACAAATGTGCAACCTCATTGTGGCGAATTCGGAAGTACAATTTCTGTTTGCATGAGAAACTCCGCCTTCAGATCATCCGTACATCAATATTAAATGAACAAACATGACTATAAGTAGCAGTCCTAATTTAACGGTATATTTCCGCATTGTAACGGATATTTTCATACAAATTTAATCTTTTTTATGAGATGATTATTTTTTCTGAACCACAGGCCTAGTGCACCGTGAAGCTTAAACGGTAAAAGTGTGTTTGCACAAGAAAATCTTATATTTGCTGTGTTCCGGATAGCAACTATAACTCCGTGACGTAGCGCATACACGAGCTGATTATAGTCTTCATTTGCATGTTAAAATTCGTATACAAACTTTAGTGTTACCGTGGGGTTTTCCATTTAAAATCCTAATTTATGAACAATATTTGATGAGATTTACAACGATACTGTTAAAAAGGTTAATGAAACTGTAGAATGCTTTGTTTTTAGGCCGACGGCAAAAATATTTTAACATATTTATTTAATGTAACTTTAAGAAACAGCAATTTAGGCCTTTTAACATTTCCAAGAAACATTTACGGCTGACTTGGAGATGGTGAAATGCTATGAGAGCCGAATTGTGGTGTTCCATCCATACTTTACTACAAAGAAGTGTACCAAATTATTGTAACATTAGTGACACTAATGCATAATAAAGGAGAAATACATTTATACAAGATATGATTAAAATATTTGATGATAAAGCATGGACAATGTACAAATTTACCTCGCTATGTCCACACATGGCAGCTATATGTAAGGCAGTAAGCCCACTATTTCCTGTCTGGTTAACATCTACAGAACCTTCTAGTAAACCTTGAACACAATCTATGTCACCCTAGAGTCAAACAAACGAAAAGAGTTAATAGCAAAGTTATAGCACGAAAATTGTACAATGCAGAAGTTTTAAAGGGCAAGATGGATGGATGGATGGATGGATGGATGGATGGATGGATGGATGAATGAATGAATGAATGAAAGAATGAATGAATGAATGAATGAATGAATGAATGAATTCATTGCATTTCTGATTATTTCAAAAAGTAGCAACAAATGGAAATTGTACAATGCCAAAGTTTTTAAGGGCAAAATGTTTAAATAAATAAATGATATTCGAAAAGTTGCTTTTCAGATTATTTTCAAAAGCAGCAACACCAACTCAAGACAGGCTCAGACCAAAAATTACTTGCCTTCAACAAAGCTTAATAAAAATAAAATATAACACCACTGAGTTTTTAGAGATGATATCATCAGATTCTGAATATTGTTGAGTTTGTGGTTTGTTTGGTCGGTTTTTACACCAAATTTTTACACATTTTGGTCATATCTTGGCAGTACCGATCCTTCTACACAGCTCTCCTGTATAACTAACCAGAAATATTACCAATTTCTCCGCAAATAACCAACTAATAATACCACAAGATTTCTGAATCAGCAGTGAGAAACAAAAGAAAGTTAGGCTCAAATGTCTAGGATAGATTGTCACGGACAAATTTTACCTTGCCCAAACATCGACCCGGCCATGACAATGTACAAAGAATGACTTACCTTATAGGTAGCTAGATGTAGGGCTGAGAACTGATTCTTGGACAATAATCCAGGCTTGACACCTTTCTGTATCAACACTTCTATCAGATGTTTGCTGCCTGTCATATCAAATATTGCAATTTTTTTAAAACATGTTTTATTTGACAGGAAAATCAATCATTGTTAAAGATTAAACTGTTATCAAATGCTCAACATTTTTGGCTATGTAAACTGATCCTTTCATAATACATGTAACAATTATTTACCAGCCAATTGTTTACCTTATGTAGCCAGTATTAAAAGCAACCTAATTTTTCCCTACAAGTTTTTTTTAACTTCTTCAAATGGAATAGTACAATTAAAAAATTTGACAGTATATGAAGTTAAACACATACAGCGGCAACTGAATCTATTCATGCAGCAAGTGCAAAAGAAGATCAGCTGGCACATGTGGCCATAGTTTTCAGTTAACTATTCAGCCATTATTTATGAAATTTTCCATGAAAATGATAAATGTTTTTGTCCAGTTTGAATGATGGTCAAGCCCAATAAAGAAAATTAGTGTGTCACCTGAGGATCAATAAAATTTTCCCAGTAAATGTTAATATGAGCCATATCTAGTCATAAAACACAAAATACTTGAGACGGAGACATTTTTGAGTGAGACTAAAAAAAGGATTGGAGCACCACACTAAATACCGTATTCCGGTATATACCGGACAAGGTGCTTGAATGATAAAATGCTCAAATCTTGCTTTTTTACCCAACGGAAAGAACTTTAACAGGTCTAATTTATCTTTTCACACAGATTTATGTATGATAATGAATGAAAAATGCAAAAAATTGGGGAAAAATTGGAAAATTTGTTTTACAAATTAGAGTTTTATGAATAAATAATACTTACCTGACATTACTATATGGATTTCTCTCTCTTGATCCGCATAATAGACTCATATCCGGAAGATAAACTTTTGACCTCTAGTAGGTCACTTCCGGTAGAAACCCATGCTTGATTCAGTATCTTTATCTGGCGAAAGTGTTCGCCAACAAAATACTAAATGACTAGTGGGGTAGGTCTCCCAGGGTGGGTAACATGTAATGTCAGGTAAGTATTATTTATTCATAAAACTCTAATTTGTAAAACAAATTTTCCAATTTTATTTCATAAATAAACTTACCTGACATTACTATATGGAATTAATTAGATTTTTATAGCAGTAATGTAGGTGGTGGGAGTCATTTAACACATATTAATCTATAAATTCCCACCAAAGATCTTAGTAAAATATACATTTGGATACATACATGCATATGTATTAATAAAATATATTTCAAATTTGATAATTTACTCACCACATAGAGTAGAGTGAATGCAGCAAGACTTGATGAAGACTTCATAACAATATTCTTCCCAATTCTCATAAATACCAAATGAAGTACAAGTACTTCTTTATGTACAAACACATCCTATACAAGTACTTATTTAAGTACATCTATACAAGTACTTATTTAAGTACATAAGTAAAAAATCATAACAACCCTGCGATCCGCAAGATAGGAGATACCACACATTATATTCAATATATACCCAGCTGTGTGCCATCACAGCTTCATGAAATCTACATTTACTGGCTTTAAGTAGTATTTAGTGAAAGTGGTCTCCCTTGACCAATCTGCCGCTTCCATTATCTGTTGAAGAGATGCACCTTTGAATAACGCCCATGAAGGTCCAATGCTACGTGTAGAATGTCCACTAATTTTCCCATAGATTTTTTCTCCTTTTTGTAACAAAATTTGATAATGTCCACTAACCATCTTGAAATTGTATGCGCGCTGTCACTGGTTTATGTGGTTTTTTCATAGATAAAAAATAACTTGATAATATCTTGTCCATTTTCAGAAATACGAAAAGGTTCAGTTCTTTTTAAATAGTAAGTTAAACAACGTTTAGGGTTCAAAAAACTTGTTTGGCAACGCAGGAACAAAAATGTTTTTTACACACAATGATTTGGTCTATCCTGCTTAGATAACCCTGGTCTAATAAATGTAAGTCCATGTTTTTGAACATTAACAGAGCCTTCACCTAATTGTAAGACTGTAGATCGCTGCAACGTCTAAAAGTTGTTATAGCCAGTAAAAAACAGGTTTTCCATGTTAAATACTTCAATGGTACATCTCTCAAAGGTTCAAATGGAGCTTTTTCCAGACATCCTAAAATGAAAAGAAGATTCCATTCAGGCACAAGTTTTTTAATTGAGAGGACGTTCGTTAAAAACAGCTTTAAGAAGGCGAATAATAAAAGGATGTTGACCTATAGGAATATTCTCCACAGGTGCTAAAACTGATGATAGCATGGATCTGTATCCATTAATAGTGCGATATTGTAAGCCTTTTTCAAATAAATGTGTCAAAAAGTCTGCACAATCAGTTAAAGAGGCTGTATATGAATCAATTTGCCGTTCACAACACCAGCTACAAATTGTCTGAACTTAGATTTATAGTCTTTTTGGAGTACCATGTCTCCAGGATTTGGCCCAAAAGTTTTCTTGCTTTTTCAGAAAGGTTTTTTGACATGAACTTTCGGTCGATAACAACCATGCAGTCAGACTCAACTTCTCTGGGTTGGTATGAAGAACCCTCCCTTGCATTGTGTTAAAAGAGTCGGAAATGCATGGAAGTCTCAATGGACATGCTATCAAGAGGTTTAGTATCTGTGTGTACCAATGTTGTCTCGGCCACTGTGGAGCAATGAGAATCATAGTGCATCGGTATTTCTTCAGGTGACTGAGAACTTTGGGAATAAAGAGGCAATGGCGGGAACGCATACACAAACATGTTCTGCCATGCAATTGACAGGGCATCCTGAGCAAAGGCTTGTGGATGGGGAATCCAAGAACAAAACAGGAGAGTTTTCTTGTTCTTGTGAGTGGCAAAAAGATCTATCATTGGTTGACCCCAAGATTGAATATTTTCTCTACTACAGCACTGTTCAGAGACCACTCTGTTTCCCTTATTAGTTCCCGACTAATAAGTGTCTGCTAACACATTCTTTATACCCATTATATGAACTGCTTTTAACTTGATATTGTTCTTCAGAGCCAAATGCCATAAATCCCAAGTTATACTGTTCAGTTGAGCAGACCTTGTCCCCCCCTGATGGTTTATGTACTGACAAACTGTAGTATTGTCCGATTTGACCAGTACATTGCAACCCTTCAAGTGAGACAGGAACTGCTGAATACTGAACATCACTGCCATCATTTCCAGACAGTTTTATGTGTAATAACTTCTGTGTTATGGTCCACTGACCCTGACAAGTTAGGTTGTCCATGTGACCACCCCAACCCCATTTGCCACTTGCATCTGTGGTCACTGTAACTGGAAAGGCATCTTTCAGAAAAGATTTGCCCCTTGCTATGTTTTGATCCAGTAACCACCAATTTAGATTTAAAAATCAGCTGAGGAGTTAAAGGAACCACATGAGAAAGAAACCATTCTGTGTGGACTCCAATGCTGAAGCAAATGCAGTTGAATTGGTCTCATGAACAACCTTGCATTCGGAATCATTTCTAGACAAGATGCAATTGTGCCCAATAATATCAGATAATGTCTGGCTGTTGTTTGACCCGCCAGAATGTTTGACACAGATTTTTTTAACTTTTTTAATCTTTCTAGAGTTGGAGAGACACTGCCGTTTATCAAATCGAACTGAGCCCCTATGTAAGTCAACGACTGAACTGGTACTAATTGTGATTTGTTTTTGTTTACAATGAAACCTAGTCGATAAAGGAGACTGAGAACTAGTGCTCTGTTTTTTAGAAGAAAATCTTTCTTTTGATTTACCAGTAACCAATCGTCCAGGTAACTGGCAAGACGCACATTGAGCTTTCGTAGGTGGGCCACCACTACAGATATTACTTTGACAAAAACTCTTGGTGCACTTGTCGACCGAAACAAAGTGTGCGAAACTGGTAAACAACACCTTTGTATTGAAAGCGGAGATATTGCCGATGACCCTTGAATATCTTTATGTGGAAATATGCGTCTTTTAAGTCTAGAGTGAGAGCCCAGTCTCCTTTCTCGACAAGGTTCAAAACTTTTGATAATGTGTCCATTTTGAAATGTTGTTTGCGGAGATACTCGTTGAGGGGTTTCAAGTTTATGACTGGTCTCAAATCCCCAGTCTTTTTTTGTCACTAGAAAACAACGTACTGTAAAAACCTGAATGAATTTTGTTGGGAGACACAATTTCTATAGCTTTTTTTGTCTAAAAGATTGTTTATTTCTGTGTTTATAACAGTTTCGTCCTTTAAAGGAACTTTTTGTAGGTTTTATACCCTGAAAAGGTGGTATTTTTAGAAACTCCAGTTTGTAACCGTGTTGGATTATTTCTAAAACCCATTTGTCTGTGGTTATTTTCTCCCATTCTGGAAGGAATAGTGAAAGTCTCCCCCCAACGGGTATCTCCGGCCATTTTGCAATTATACTTACAGAGTCATTTTCCATCTGATTTTGCCAATTTTCCTCTACCTGGAAAGGATGTTGATCGTCTTGGGTAACTACCAAAACTGCCCTTTGACTTATATGATGACTGCGGTCTGCTGTCAGTTTTATCTCTTGACAGTCTTGGGATACGAAAATTATCCCACACTTAGAAGTAGAAGCTGACGGCCTGTCAAAAAATCTATCTGGAGTAGGTCTTTTACTCGAATCTGGTTGGGCACCCGAGAACTTCCTTTTAAAGCCAGACCTTTTAACATCTGGAATTAAATCGTCAATCTGTTTTCTTTTTCTCTTTTGCGAGCTTTTAACAAAGACTCTAAACCGGCCAACCACACACCCTCACCAGTTAAAGGTAAATTTAGAAAATTCCAAATTGTCTGGTTGCTCAAAAAGAGCAGTATCTGTCATAGCTACCGATCTTCTGATAACATGGTGGAACGCCCCTGAACGACCTAACTGGTCAAGAGCCTTAGTTTGACATGGCAAACACATCTTTAACATGTTGGGTTGCCTTCTCTTTATTGAAATCGTCTGATTCCAGAAACTGTAGAAAAATTACCTAAGCTCTGTTGGATGTACATCTGTATAATTAAACCTAGACGAGCTGCTTGTTGCCCTTTGTAAGCAATTTTTTCTACCATTTTACAAGGTTGAGTAAATAAAGTCCTGCCTTTACTTTTAACAAAAGAGGCTCTGTTACCAAAACGTTTAGTTAAGCAAACATTCAACTAAAGAATCAAGAGGAGGCACCTGTAACCATTTTTTGATTCACTGTCCACAGGAAAAAGATCAAAATTTTCCTCAGAAAAGGCAGACAGAAAATTTTGGCTCTTTACATCTGTAACTGTTATTTAACACTTCAATTTGTGATGAATCTAACACCAAACCATCTTTTTTTTCATTTCTTCTTAACCAGGGCATCATCCCAAACATGTCCACGAGACATTTCTTTTGCATGTCTGATAAATGTTCTTCTCTTTGTGAAAGAGCACTTGCAGAATTTTCTAACTCACAGTCCGATTTTTCGGAGTCATAATCACGTGGGGAAATTTGTCCATGAGCCATAATAGAAACTTGATCTTCTAAATCACTTTCATTATCGCTAAATAATCGTCTTTGTGACGAATTTTGTACCGAAAACCGTCGACTTGTTTGTCAAGTCCCTAGAACTTCCCTCACGAGGGCGAGACTGTTCTTTATCTAACATTTTTGTGTAACATGTCTTCAATAACAGAAAAACGTCTACTCAATTCATTATACTTAGAATGTTTTTTTACCCTTTTTCTTCTTACTTGACCTTGAATGGTGAGGAATTTCACTCGATCCACGAGGCGAGTGCGACGACGTGTTTGTCACGTCGGAACCACTATCCGAGGCAAGTTCTCCTTCTTCCGCCGATTTATTCGACGCCATAATCCAATAGAAGTTGAATAAAACGAAACTCAACTAATAAAGTAACTTTCTAAGTCCAAAGACTTTGAAAAGAGTCTAAATTCACGGAGATGCGAACACTTTCGCAAGATAAGAGAAACTGAATCAAGCATGGGTTTCTACCGGAAGTGACCTACTAGAGGTCAAAAGTTTATCTTCCGGATATGAGTCTATTATGCGGATCAAGAGAGAGAAATCCATATAGTAATGTCAGGTAAGTTTATTTATGAAATAAAAATAATATTTGTCTATTTCGTGATCATGATTTCTGCAAGCGTCTAGAGGTACTGCTCCAATCCTGTATTGAGTTAAATCCGACATTTTTAACATGTCAAAAGCTGCAAATCTGGTTGGGGGTACATTAATTTAGCATGTATTTTAAACTTTTGATTTACAGCGAAGAAAAACATCATAAAATAAATGTAAAAAAAAAAATACTTTTATATCCTGAAAGAAGATATAAAACTATTTTTAACTATCATCATGGTTATGACTTCAAAATAAAGTCAGAATGTACCTACCCCCTGATAAACATGCTATATGAAGTAATGTGAGCCCAATATCTGTCTTCTCATGTGCATTTTGAATTTTTATTAAACTGATCACTTTTGCTGTATCACATACACTGAAATATACATATTTCATATGTCATGATAAGTTTCACTGAAATATACATAATTTATATGTCATGATAAGTTTCACTGAAATATACATAATTCATATGTCATGATAAGTTTCACTAAAATATACATAATTTATATGTCATGATAAGTTTCACTGAAATATACATTATTTATATGTCATAATAAGTTTAACTAAAATATACATAATTTATATGTCATGATAAGTTTCACTGAAATATACATTATTTATATGTCATAATAAATTTCACTGAAATATACATAATTTATATGTCATGATAAATTTCACTAAAATATACATAATTTATATGTCATGATAAGTTTCACTGAAATATACATATTTCATATGTCATGATAAATTTCACTAAAATATACATAATTTTCATGTCATGATAAGTTTCACTGAAATATACATATTTCATATGTCATGATAAATTTCACTAAAATATACATAATTTATATGTCATGATAAATTTCACTAAAATATACATAATTTATATGTCATGATAAGTTTCACTGAAATATACATATTTCATATGTCATGATAAATTTCACTAAAATATACATAATTTTCATGTCATGATAAGTTTCACTGAAATATACATATTTCATATGTCATGATAAATTTCACTGAAATATACATAATTTTCATGTCATGATAAGTTTCACTGAAATATACATTATTTATATGTCATGATAAGTTTCAATATGTCATGATAAGTTTCACTGAAATATACATAATTTATATGTCATGATAAGTTTCACTGAATATACATAATTTATATGTCATGATAAGTTTCACTGAATATACATAATTTATATGTCATGATAAGTTTCACTGAATATACATAATTCATATGTCATGATAAGTTTCACTGAATATACATAATTTATATGTCATGATAAGTTTCAAGTTAAAAGACTAATTTATTAAGTTTTAAGTAATAATTATCTTTCCATTTTTTTCTTGGCATACAGTACACAAGAAGTTTCACAACATATTTTAAGTACATGTACAAGGACTAATTTAATAACTTTTAAGAAATAAATTAACTACCATGTTTTCAAAGGCATACAGTACACAAAAAGTAAATCTTACTAAAATGTTTACAATATCAACCTACCGGAATTATTTCCATTCTTAATCAGCATAAAATATTTTCAAAAATAACAAAAATAAGTTCCTTAAATTATTTTCTTATATTAACCCAACCAAAACATAATCTCAGATTATTAATTATTCATTAAATCATGGATGTAACTATATAGCTCCACCACAACTTTTGGGTCCTCTGTGAATACTATGGATACAGAATTCAAACACAATACTAGTAGGCCATAACTGACTTGACCATATGACCAGCGCAGACCAAGATCAGCTTGCATATCTACACCATCTGTTCTTGGTCTACACAGTTTACTATTCAGCAAGTAAATATTTTAAAATATTTTGTTAATTATTGCAGTTCAACTTAAGTAGATATATATATATATAATAAATACCTGCAAGCTTGCTGTAATTCGGTCCATTCTGTTTCTCTAACTGGACGTAAGTCCTCTATCACGTGAGAACGGAACAGGGAGTAACTCTCGCTTATCTTTTTCTTTAATTCATCTGAAAAATGAAAGTTAATCATCACAGTCAATGACAGAATGATGTTATGGTTCCAAAAAACTTCTGACCACTTATCTTTTTCTATAATTCTTCTGAAAATGAGAATTTTCAAATAATTAACATTTCCACTGACAGCTTTTTTGGTACAAAAAAGGTGTCAAATACTTAATAAAATTTATTTTACAGCCTCAACAAAACTGACTACTTGTTAATGTGTTATCTAAATTAAAAATTTAAGATAAAAATTAGTGGCATCAATAATCATGTACACTGGATCTTTTCAACCTAATTTTGAAAACGAAATTTATCAATTATCTGACAAATTAAATTCTTTTTTTCACTAGAAATTACAATTAACATTTTAATTAGTAACAGCAACTGACTGCCCAAGAGACTAGAGCAGACTAAGACTGAGACAATGCTTAACTGCATCATACAATGTATGTGTAAATTCTGTCCCAAATTTACCCAATATTCTCTCCCTAATTCAACATTGATAATGAAGACTTAACCCTAAATGCCGTACTTAAGTTTTGTGTTAAAGTTATAGACTTGCAATGAAGTTGGAAAAGTCTAATTTAGTGAACTGCCTTACTTTAAAACTGCATGAGAATACAGACTGACCTAACTCTTTTAAAAGTTGCAAAAGCTGTTATAGTATACACTGAATTTAGTTCAAGCAATCTAATGCTTAAATAAAAACTTGGGTGTCACTTACTGACTTAGGATCCCCACAATATTCTGTTGTCTTAAACTGATTTATTTTATTTTCATCATATACCTTAGCAAACTCCTCACAGTGATTACCTCCCTTGGCAGAATTGTAATCACTGCCTTCAAAGACCTCACATGATGATGAAAGTCACATGACATAACGTCGAAATTCAAATGTAAATATCGACCGTTACATAGAAAATCTAACGTCATTTTTCTCTTTCTGTTTTATTTTTAACTTGTAGTGCCTACGATCGATATAGTTTATCAAAAAATTATCAAAAGTATACAAAATAACGAAAAATAAATTCAAAAGCTAAAAAATATAAAATATCAAAATATTGTCTCGGTAGAAAATATTCTCATATTTTTTTAAAATTATTTCTAAATATTCATATTATTTATTTATTTATCCATAAACATTGTTTAATCAATGAGAAAAAACTTAACTGATAGATAAAAGCAGTAAATAAAACAATTTTTGAAAAAATATAGTATATCAGAAATTCTGATATATTGGGACCTTGGTGGCAGAGATCTACGCCGAAGAATTAAGGGGAGATCACTGTGTGGAGATTGATACCTTAGTACATAGGATTCGTATTTTCTCTGAGAACAATAGATAATAAGAAAATTATTAGCTTTCAAGAATTAACAAAATTACTCAGGCAATGCTGATCATGTCAATAAATACTGAATTTTTTTCTGTATGTTCCTCCAAAACTAACCTGCACAAGAAATTGTTGGTCTCGACTTATAGTTACCCATATCTTACAACCACTCATTGTTATTTTCCTCTGTCTTTACCTGAAACAAAAATAATTTACAAAAAAAAAATTTAACCAAAATAATAATTGTTAACTGATTTTTAGGAAACTTGATGGGACAGCCAAAATGTGGTTATTATAAAAAATTATATAACATGTTAACTGTATCCATTTAAAAAATTGTTTCTATATATATATAGAGAGGTGCCGACTCATCCACTCACATTTGCAAGTGAAAGTTTGGGTCGGCCGAAAAAAAGCTGATCAAACTCTTCCAGCTTGGCGAGTAAGATTCTTTTTGTCCAAATGGTTTTTCTCCAAACATTTATAATTGAAGTTATTCAGAAAAAAATTTAAACTGCAGACGCCATTTAAATCGTAATAAGTCAAATGAAAACAGCAGAAATCAACCTTTGGCTAAATATAAAGCTTTTTAACAAAGGCATATGATGAGTGAATTCCGTAAGGACAAAGGACAGCAGCATGTGACAATGTTTCATACCTACATATTCGGTATAGTATTATACTTAGCCATTAGGCCGATATTTTAACCGAGTGTGTTAGAATTTATATGAAATAAGTATTCAGGCTATGTCAAATATTATATATATTAAAAGAATGAAATGTATTATAAAAAATATGGAATTGAATAAAGCTGACATTATACCGATATATAGGCCAGTAAATAGTAAATGTGTTTTTTGATATTAACTATTTTGTGCTGAAATTAAAATATCTAATAGCAAGCTCGACGAGCTGGCCCGAAAGGGCTGCTCGCAAAGCGAGCTTTACGGTAACGCGAGTACCTGCTAAGTGATGGTTTTGAAAACTTTCGTCCGAAGTACCAAATTGGACATCGCAACTTTTCAAATTTAAAGATAACGATAAAAACTGAGGAATTCTGACTGAAAACGGATGTGTAGACTGGTCACCGGGCACGTCTATGGGAACCATAATTGGACAGGAAACCAGAATAACGGAAGCTGTGTATAAAATATCGAATGACAGTTTTAAAAACGGAAAATGTAAAGTGAAAATTGAAGGCGCCATTTTGTTTGAAAAATCTGATAAATAAAAACAATTTTTTGTCGAATTTTGTTGTGAAAACTATCTAGAATGAAAGAAAATGGTCTAACTAAGAAAATGAATCCAAACACCGATATCTTTTATTCAGTCGTTAACGCTGTACAGACGTTTAAAGTATTGTTTGCGTGACGTCACAATGTAGCGCCAAACAGCACGTGCAAAACAATCAAATCTAGTACGTTATTTTAATGTCGCAAACGTTTAAAATTTACATTTATTTCACTTTAAATAATCTTTATTTAGCTTGAAAAATTATAGAGTGAAATAATATAAACAAACAAAGTTTTATCAACGTTTTCAAAACTCGTTATTCATTTAACGACAGGGTGGAGTCATATTTAACACAGTACGTGTGACATCACACGCAATCGTCACTGCATTTGAAATAAAAATGAGCAATTATTTCATACTATTTCACGTTAAAAGTACATCGAGCTCGCTTTGAGACTTTGCCTTTTTCATATTATTTTAAAAATAATTGAGCCACGTCACGACAAAACAAACATAGTGCGTTTGCGACCAGCATGGAGCCAGACCAGCCTGCGCTTCCGCGCAGTCTGATCAGGATCCATGCTGTTCGCTATCAGTTTCTCTACTTGTAATATGGTTGGTAAGCAAATAACATGGATCCTGATCAGACTGCGCGGATACGCAGGCTGGTCTGGATCCATGCTGGTCACAAACCCAATTATGTTGGTTGGCTCAATTCACAAAACTATTTCACTGGTTCAAAGTATTTTTGTCTCTACACTCTTGTTTTAAAAACAATTAGATTTAGTTTGTAAAAATGAATTATTCAAGGTAGGTATCTACATTTAACAGCAAATTTTGAATATTAAACCATTGTTTGAAGTTTTACTTACACAGCTTTCTTAATTTGGAAATGACAGGTATTTTTCATGTTACAAGCGATGCGTTGTGGATTATTAGCACATCGTGAAAGTTACTTCACACGGCACGGATTCCTTAAACAAGGAATATGTTTGGCAACAAATTAGAAATAAATATAGAATCAGATGCATTGATACTAAATGTAAACATCGTGACTTTTTAATTAGTCTTTACTCAAAAGTTTTATAAATTTATTTCTTTGACATTGTGATATAAGCGACATCAAATGTTAACTTCCGGGTTTTTGACTTTTTAAAAAATAAACACAACACAGCTTATCAAAGCAAAATGTTATCTTACTTTATATGACGTTTAAAACGCGAGTGTAGAAGTAGGGAAAATGTTAGTGTACCTACGGCTTGGCAAAACTGTCAAGCGTTTAACTGATGTCACTTTGAAACATTGTTATCTACCAAATGTGGGTACCTTCACAGAGAATCGAGTAGAGCCAGCTCTGTGGTATAAGGTCTTAGTTCTTGACTCCATTCTAGTGGATTGTGAATTACGAACAGTTTACATAAACTATGAAAAACAAAAACAGTCGGATTCATTTCATAAATGTATCCCTGAACAGCTTCATGCAAGAACTGTTGTGGATTTCTTTAGACAACAAGGTAACATTATAAAATTTCTTGCTCAGAATGCATAAATTGATCATCTGAAATCATGTTAAATCATTATGAAATTAGGCAAAGCCTATGAACGGGTAGGTTGTTATAAATTCCTTTCATTTTTTTCCGTTTTAAAGGTGTCATTTAGTATTTCATGCACCACTTCCGTTTTCACTCAGAACACTCGATGTTTATTATTTCAGTGTTTTTTTTTCCCTACTTTGGAAAAGGTGCCGGTACCGCACAGATTGGGAAAAAAATCCATCGGTTTGACTTAAATTGGGGAATTTTACATAGGATGCAAAATATTCATAATATACACTTTAAAACCATGTATTATTAACTTAAATGATTATTTTTGCTACTTGAGGTTGAAAAAAAAATGATAATCGTAACAATTGTACACAAATAATGTTAAGGTGTGAAACGCTAAAAGTATGAATTTAACTGGGTATGAATATCACTCATGTGGTTATACTTGGTTTTTATCACATATCACTTATTAATGGCATTTCTGTTTTTATTTACCTTTAAATTTGCCAATTTTTGAGGACATTTTCAGTGTTATTTTGGGAATTTATCAGTCATGAATTGGGAAATTTGTTGTCTATTTTCTATTGGGAACAGTGCGGTTTTTCTGGTATCAGTTATATAAGGAAAAAAACACTGTAATTATCCGAAAAGTTGAGATTTGTTCCGTTATCAGAATACACCGTCTTTTATCATTGAGTAACAGCCTAACTAGAACTGACACTGAAAATTTAATTGATAGGTATAGAATTCTATATATATTTTTTAATTGTTTTTTATTTCATTTTCTTTTAAATATACACGTGTAGTCTATAGCCCGGCAAGCCATTGCCCGGGCCTGCTTTGCGGGCCCTTACTTTGACTTCCCCATATGATAAAAATCACCTGCTTTCACTTGTCCTACAAATAAGACGTTGCTTAAAGATATACAAATGTAGTTGTAATTGGCAATAAGATTAAATCAAACATTAAGTTATTTTATATTTCTCTTTTTATCATTTTTAGAACAAATATTCAAAGACAGTGGTTGCTATGACTTTGACCCCACTGTAGATGAGTTGTTTGACACGGCTGGCAAGATCTTTCACAATTTGAACCCAGAGATAATTGATAAGGAAGGAAATAATGCTACATATGAAGAACTCCTGAAGATGTTGCATGTTTTTATACTGCCAGAGATCAAATTTGGTATAAAAGAAAAGCATTGCGTTTCTGAAGTTTTAACGAAAATTGAAGAACAGCATACTTATATTGAGGATCTTATTCAAAAGAAGGACAGGACCAAAAGAAACACAGAAAACTCGCTGTTAAAGCAGAGGCAGAGTCTTTTGCTAGATGAGAATTTCTCAAGTGGGAAATATGTTTCTTCACTAGACACTAAATTTCTGACTATCTTCTTACAACACTTGGAAAAAGATATAAGGCAGTTAAATGAAGTTCTCCTTGCATCTGATAAACAGATCAACTCTTTGAGAAATTCGTTGTCTCAGAAAGATATAGCAAGAATGGAAACTGCAAGAGGAGAAAGCAAGGAAGTATATAGTGCCTTAGAAAGGGCTATAATTGCTAGAGAAGAGATAAAAAATGTGATCTCAAGGAAACATGTGAAGAAAAAGTTTAAGAAGAACAGGGATAGCACAGCTGATTTCCATGAGCTCTATGTTGAAATAACAAAAAGACTAGATCAGACTAATGTCGAAATTCGAGAGCTTATAATATCAAAAATAAAATTGTCTAGTGTGAGAGAAGCTGCTCTCCTGACTGTGAAAGAAATTGACAGTGATGGCATTTCTTATGGATACAATAGGAAAAAAGGGTCATTTGAGATTGAAACAGATTTATTTGATCCAAGCAATAAACCAGAAGAATGGGCCACCTTGTCTGAACGTGTCAAAACTTATATTCAAGTGAAACAAGTTGGTTTCCGCATTGGATTTGAGAAATTCTGCACACAAATACAGCGTAAATGCCAACATTTATTTGATGAATCAAAGTTATTTGGTATTCCCTCTGAAGGGTCACAAAAACCACCAGTATCTCCAACAACTGCTGAATTTATAAACGCACTGGGGAATGAGGCTGTATCTAGAAGGTCAAGAATCACTTCTAACATTGACTTTACTGAAATGAAAATAAAATCATTGTCAAGACGGACAAGAGGATATTCAACAAGATGGTCAATTGGATGTATTCACCAAGCAATGAATGTGAGGGCCTTATGCCAAGGAGTAAACAAAATCATATCTCTGATGTATGCTATGACCTTAGAACTGGTTGGCATATGAAAGGTACCAATGAAAATTTTGAAAAGTTTTCATAATAAGTTGTATGTTTGTTATGAAGAGCATGTCTCTGCTAAGCTTATGCCAGTCCTGAGTGAACTTTATGAGCAAGCTACAAAGGACAATGTGATGGTCTGGCAGAGTGGTTAGCCAGATATTCTTGTGACATAATGTTTATGCAAAAAACCATAAAAGGTCTGTTTGGAGGCTCCCCTGATACTAGTGAAGAAAGCTCAAGGGAAGCTTCTTTAGATATGGAAGAAACAGAGGTAAAAGTTGCTTTAGGGACCTCAAAAACTGATACAAATTGGGTCTTTAAGCCTTAGACATATGTCTTTAGATGAGTTGTATGGTAAATTTAACAAGCAGTGTGAAGGCATGCCACAAAGTTTTGTCGGTGCCCTAGACATGAACCCTGATGATTACTTGGTCATTGAAGAGGAGATAGATAATGGACATGAAGTGTTTCCTGAAGAAAATGGAAGACAATCTACTTTAGAGAATGGCACAGTAGATGTCAATGAAGGATTATTTATACACAAAGTGGATAGAGTTAAACCAGATTTAGACATGAAACAATCAAAGGTTGCAGAGAAATTTGGCAATGCTGAGGCTTGTGGGTTTACACCTGAATCGGTCGCAAATACTGAAGGAAATACAATTCCTGAACTACCAACTTACAGTGAAGTTATTATGCGTCAGAAACCACTAAACAATCCACCTCCTTATACATCTTTACAGTCTCATAAAGAGAGGTTCTATAAAGAATTCGAGCAATTCTTTACTCTCGTTGAAGAGGAAGACCAAGCTAGCACATTGTTCGGAAAGTTGCGACAGATGACACGGATAAACAGATATGTTGAAAACCAGATTACAAGACTGCGATCAGAACATAGCAAACATAGTATAACATGCACTGATGATATCTTGGATGTGATTAATATTGTTTATTATGCAAATTAGAGGCTCCATGGTTACTAAAACTGTATGCTCATCTAAACCTGGACAATTCATTTGAGTCCTCCATTCATGCAAGGAAATGCCCATGATTACTCGCTTGTGAATATAAGTGTGGCATACCAGCATCTCTTTGAACAACAAGTCTTACACAGGTCTATAGATCCTGTCCCATAAAGTGTGCCAAATAGTATGATAAAATTATTTTGATTGGCTTAACTATATTTTGTACCCATGTAGCTAAGTTCTGTTCTTGGCTACTTTGTTTGTTGTTAGACTATTTAAATCGACTGATAAAAGAAAACAGAATACAAGTGTCACTCCGCATATTTTAAGTACTTAAAGGCACATTATGCCCCAGAAATGCTTTCACTTTTAATTTTCAAAACCTTTCAATTTATGGTGTCTTGATATATGAGTTTCTCATTGGCCAATTACCTTCTGCTTCTGTTGCTTTCTGGCAACAAGTACTGTTATAGTGATTTAGTATTTTGTATGGAAGTCAAAATACTACTTTGTTTACAATTTGCTACTTTAATGACAAATAATTAAACACTCAGGGGTACTTTAATCTTGATCTAAGCATCTAACATAATCTTAAACCATCGTTAACTTTAAACTTTATTAAAAAACAATATTTTCCTATTCTCAAAAAGCAAAAAAAAAATTCATTGCTGAGGCATAATGTGTCTTTAATATTGCTTTTTAAATAGCTAGCAGTATAACCTTGGTAACAAAAGATTTTAAAATATAAACATAGGTAAATGTAGATCATTGAGATTTACAAAGTAGTCAAATACATGTAAAATTATTAATGTCCTGCAGGGTTTAATAATTAAATTAATGTGTTTAGAATTTGTATGTTTTAAATAGGTTCACTGTCTGATTCTTGCAGTTTTGTTAAATTCATAGAAGATGTTTTTGATAGTAGAAAAATTGTCATGTGAACAATTTTTTTTAAACGTGTTTAAGCTATTCTGAAGTGCAATTACATGTACATTTAATGTGCCAAAATGTTTGGGCCTTTTTAAAGTAGCCCTTGTAAATACACTATTTGAGATAATAATAAACATGCAGCTAGCAAATCAATAAATTTAGTCAAATTTTTGTGTAAAATTTAGACATAGCTTCACACAAAAGTTGAACCATTTTCACATTTCTTTAACTTGATAACTAATACATATTTTCCTTCAAAAGTTGTTTGATTTTTGCAAAATAAAATTTTTGTTCTGTTGAGGTCAGTATCTGTTTATAGCCAGGGTGGATAATTGTGTTCACAGGCATGAAAGGTCGGCTTTTATTCACAAATAGTAGCATTCAAGAAACTCTTGCAATTAAAATCTTATTTCATATATCATGAT